GCAAAATAGCTAGGTTGCATACATTCAGCCGCCATCTAATGACTTTCAAAGATAGATTGTTTTAAAATGGATCTGCAATAGTGCTAGATTAAAACATGTAGTCCTTGAAGACATGACTAATATCTATTATCAATCAGGGAATTAAAAAGGAATAGTAAATGAAACTCCATGATCCAGGAACCTATAAAGAATTGATGGGAAAAAAGTACAACTGTTTAAAATGTGGTGGGGTTTTTTTTGGTGTTTGTATATGCACCAAATATATATGGTGTATAGTCTTCAAAAAAGGAAGTACTCTGGAACCAACTGCTGGCTGATAAAACTATAACAACACTCAAGATTTCAATTGTTTCAATTCTACCATCTTTCGTATTATGATAGAGTTGTGTTTTTTTTATCCTTAAGATTGTAAATTCACGTCTGCAGTCAAATTTTTCATGATGGTGCTGTAAAGTTACAAAGTGTAAATAAATGCATAGGGCAGGATGTTTCCTACGTTAAAAATACAGAAAGAAGGACTTTGTGCTGGAGATTATCACCCGTGAGCCCATATGTTGGTTGAAGGAATCAGGGCTTCAGAATTAGAAGTAAGAACTTTGAATTATTTCCTTAAGAAACTGGGGAAATCAGAAACACAATATGCCATAAAAGTGTTTTGGGGGAAGCTTATGCTGTGGAAAATAATGCCATCTAGTGTTCTCTCTCAATAACACCTCCAGCGTTTCCCTGTGGAGTGCTTCCTGCATTGGGGAAAAACACACGATATATACACATCTTAAAATTGGTTTATCATGAATTATGGTGAACCTGGCATGAAATAAGTTTTTTTTCTGTTCATACTTAGTAAATGGTGTAATTGCACCATTACTAGGGAAAAGACAGATTGGTTTTTCCCAGTGTTTCCCAGTAGTACATGTAGAACAAATGAGATCCAGAAGTCAAGGTTGATACTCTATCTTGGGAATTTCTACTAAATGATAAAAATAATAACAGATTGTTCATAGATGTACAAATATTACTCTGAAAAAATAATTTTATATCTAGATAACAGAGTGGTTAGAAAGATTAAATATAACTGAGTTTGCCAGAATTCTTATTACTTAAAAAGAGCTTTTAGAATAGAATATCTTTATTGTCATTGTGTATCTCACAACGAAATTTTGAATGTGTACTGAGGGCTTCATATCACATTAGAACTTCAGGTTGCTCCACCCTTGAATTAGAGATTCTGCTGCTTAAAATTAAAGTTGACCAATCAAGTTCCATAATTTTAATCCACTGTTTTATCCAAAAGCATAATCTTACAGAAAGAAGAGTAACTACATTATTTTTGTAAGAAAAAAAAACAGAATCTTAGAATTGCAGCTGAGAGACATGGGAAATTCCAAACCAAAGAATGATGCTTCTATAATGGACATATTGATCTGTATGCTATGTGCCAAATGCTACAGGGTTATATTTCAATTTCAAATATGTATAAATTGCTGGATTTTAATATGAATTTTAGTCACAATTGTTCAATTTTTCTTTTTACAGTTAAGGAGAAAACCTGCAACTTATTTTCATGTATACCTTTTATAATCCATGTATCTCATTCTCATGTATTCATATTCAAATACAAAGTTTATTGAAAGTACATTTCACACAGAGCGCATGACATTTTAATTATCAATTTTAATATCATCCAACTGATTTTAAGCAATACCACCAATTCTGGCAAGATATTGTACTAATACTTGTATTGAAAAGATATGTGAATCACAGTATAATCCAGATTATTTTTCTAAAATTGTACAATATTAATAGTTATTCCTTTAATTAATTCTGTATCTTTATTGCACTTCATTGGAAATATTTTTTTAAAAATGTTTCTACTAGATCAGTATAAATTTCCTGATTCTAATATTATTTTGTTCTGCTAAACATTACAAAGAAAAAAATGTACAGTTTTCCTGTTTAAAAAAATGAACAAAACCCCGCAGATACGTGTTTTAAATACATGTATTCCAGAAATAAATTGTTTTTTAATCCTAGAAACAAAATATGCAAGTAAAGATTGTTGTGCTCTAGGCTATATTATTTTAAGCATGCCACATGCGAATACCCAGTTTTTCTAAACAGATTGAAGTCACATGATATATATTCAAGTGATATCAACTAAACGTATTTCCTGGACCATTACATTCTCAAAATACCCCCCAGCCGTTAAACAGATGACTGCATCATTAATCCCCTTCCTGTAGTTTCTTTAGTTGTGAACTATAATTACTAGCAATTAACTAAAGTTCACATTTCAAAAATAATTATTGCCGTTGTTTTGTTAAGGAACCAAGGTCAGTAATTGCAGCCTACGCCTCTTGATGAAGAAATCAACCCCTTATTAAACAAAATGGGGTCCTACTGCTGAGCAGGCATGATATAATCAGAAGGTTGTAAAATTGATATCTGCACCAGCAGAAATCTCTGAGAGCAAAGTACACCCACAATATTTAGGCTGCAAAATTTCCCTTTCTTTCTCCATCACACACACACTATCTCTTGCCACACTATTCCTGTTTAAAGGCAAGAGATCTGTAATATTTTTCATGTATGCCACTCATATCAGAGTATGACATGGACTGGAAAGTGCAGACTTTCAGAATGTAGCCTAAACAGGCAGTATGAAATACAGAGCTGTATCAGGAGATATCAATATCTTTAAAAACAGCAACCAAACTTATAAACCATTTTGTCCTGGAATCAGTTTCTCTCAATTCAGGAAATCCTTTCCATATTGGTCAGAAGAACCACGGATAGAACAGAATATTTCAAGAATATAACTAATATTTAAACAGGACTTTAGCTAAGCATACAATAGTCTCATCTTGACCTAACCTGAACAATAGACCAAGTTATCTAATTTTCTTGTGACTATGATTTGCATGGAAAATTAGACAATGCTCTGCTAGTCTGTTCTTTATTTTATCTTGAGGAACTCAAGATAAACTACCAGCTGCAAATATAACTGCTTAGGGGTCTTTGTAAAGTAGGTGTTCAAATAAAATATTCATTTTTTCCTTTACATTCCAAGTTGAGAATCGTCTGCCACTAAGTAAACTTCTGCTATATGGCACATTTCAGTGTTCTATAATAATAATAATAGATTATATTCTGTCTAATACAACTGGGTATTAGGTATGCTATAAGTGGTCTACTAACGTGTATACTATACCATTTTGGATATATACAAAGGGCAAAGTTTATCCTGAATAGCAAGTTCACTGAGTACAGAACTAGATCTAGTCATACCAGTACAGAAGTCTCCAATGTGACATTACACATGGGAAAAGGTACATTAAATAGTAAATACCATTAATCTATGATTTATCAGGCATGCTGAAATTCCAATGGAAACATTCTTAAATAATTTTCAGAATTTCTGCCAACTGAATAATTAAAATGCTTTGCATCAAAGTTTTGGTTCAACTTAGTATTAGACTTTCCAGGTGACTTTAAAAAAGTCACTGCTTTATGGTCTGTTTTCTCGCGTCTGTATAATGAGAATCAATAGCACCCCTCCTGCGCAGGATTGTTGTATTATAGGTATAGTATATAGCAAAGCATACTGAAAAACTAGCAGAAATCAAGTAGGAAATCGATTAAAAATGCTATAAATACTTGTTTTGTCAATGTTTTTTCAAAAGCTGCTGTATAGCACCTCCTTTGGGAATAAAAAATAAAATAAAGCAGCACATTTTGAAAATAGTATTTAGCCATCTGGGTTTTTTGTTTTTTTTTTAATCTCAGGACTATCTCAGGAATTTGAGAATCATCAAATATGAGGACATGATCTTATAATATATACTATTTATTTCTGGGAAAACATAATAGATAAGACCACAGAAATGTACTGATGGAAAGCATAAACTCAACATCTTGAGGTTTTGCAGAATTTGGCCAATGTCACCAGTTACTCATTAGTGCACATTGACTGAGAGCCATTAAAAAATCATAAGACATCCTGTCCATTGCTGTTGGATGCAAAGCTGATTAAAATGTTAATCAAAAAAGCATTTTCTTAAACTAGAAAAATTAACATGGGGTGTTTTTTTTTGGGCTTTGTATATGCAGGACATGCTCATAATGCAATCTTGATCATCACACACAGGGAGGTAGTATTGTCCTGACAGGACCATGCCTTGCTCAACATTTGGATAGGCTTCAAGACTTGCTTTACAAGATCACTTATAGCAGATATTCTCATTGCTTATTTTATGGCTTAGTGCCATGGATCCCAAAGAGTGTGCCATGGCATCCCAGAGCATTGAAGTGAATTCACAGGGGATTGTGGGATATTTTGCTACCAAATTAATAAACTGATATTTTATTATTTAAGAAACAACACCATGGGCTTATTCACTGCTTAAAAACTGACCCAGGTGCCATAGTACTGGTAATCCTCAACTTACATCCACAATTGATCCCAAAATGTATGTTGCTAAGTGAGACATTTGTTAAGTGAGTTTTGCCCTGTTTTATGAACTTTCTTGTCACAGTTGTTAAGTGAATCACTGCAGTTGTGAAATGAGCAACATGGCAGTTAAGTGAATCTGGCTTCCCCCATTGACTTTGCTGGTCAGTAGATTGCAAAAGGGGATCACGTGACCCCCCTGGGATACCTCAACCCTCAAAAACATGAATCGGTTGCCAAGCATCCAAATTTTGATCATGGGGATGCTGCAATGGCCGTAAGTATGAAAAACGTAAGTCCCTTTCTTCAGTGCTGTTGCAACTTCGGTCACTAAATGAATGGTTTTAAGCTGAGGACTACTTATAAAAGTAGTCCTCGACTTATGACCACAGTTGAGCCCCAAATTTCCATTGCTAAGCTAGACAGTTGTTAAATGAGTTTTGCCCCATTTTATGACCGGTTAAGTGAATCACTGCAGTGATTAGGTTGTTAAGTGAATCTGGCTTCCCCATTGACTTTGCTTGTCAGAAGGTCACCAAAGGTGGTGGCATGGCCCTGGGACACTGCAGCCATAAATATGAACCCATTGCGAAGTGTCTGAATTTTGATCACATGACAAAATCACGTCAGGAATGTGAAAAACAGTCATAAGTCACTTTTTTCAGTGTGGTTGTAACTTCGAGCAGTCCCTAATGAATGGTTGCCAGTTGAGGATTACCTGTACAAGATTGGGGAACTACCAGAAGCACTGTGAAAAAAATTACTTAGACACTAAAGATGCTGTGAACCAAGAAAGTTTGGGAACCCCTGGCTTAGTGATCTTATTTTATTTTAGCAAACCGAGGATATTCTAAATAGAATTTTATCCAAGCAGAGTTATGCAATTTCATAGAGGTTTTATGTTAGAAGTGCAGCAGTCAAATGATAAATAAGCAATGACTTCAAATTTCTGCAGCACTGAAATTCTCTCACTCTCACCTATAATAATTACTCCCCCATTCAAACATTAGATAAGTGAAAAAAGAAAATCTAAGATCCATATATTAAGGAGATACCACAAAGTAACTCTTTGGGACTCTGAGAAAGTAACCTGATAGATATTTGTCATAGGAATTGTATTTACAAATGTAATAGCAAAAATGGACTTGTTATTTACTGTATTTTCTGGCGTATGAGATGATTTTCTAACCATGCAAATCTTCTCCGAAGTCGGGGCTCGTCTTATACATCGTCATCTTATACACCAGAAAATACGGTACTTTCTTTTAGTAGGAGAAAAATAAGATAGGTTGTAACTTTAAGATAACACTGCCTGATTTCCTTGAAGTTGTTACACTTTCCAAAGGAATTAAAATTTTGACTGTTACATAATTCTTAATGTAAACCATTTTGAATATTTGTAGCTGAACTGGACGATTGTCAGAATTTTCAACCATAATTATGAATATTTTCTTATGATACTTAAATAATTTCAAGTGTTCAAAATTATACAAAAATTGAAAGAATGCATCAGGACTGCATTGTTTCAACTAAGTAGACTCAATTAAAATAAGTTCATCTAATATAATTTAAGGAGAAATCACCCTTCTATAAATCATAATCCTTTGTTAAAATATACTCGATCCAATTCAGGACTCATTTCTTTGATCTTAGCTTGCAATTCTGGCTCCAGACGCGTTACAGACATGGAACTAGGAAGAAAAAAATAATAAAGACATAACATTATCCATGATCAAGAAGTCTTAATCCATTTGTTTACTGTATATCATATGTCTCAGGAAATATCTTAAATTTTATAATCCTTTAAAACAGAGGTGTCAGACTCAATTTCATTGAGGGCCACATCAGCATTGCGGTTGCCTTCAGGGGGCCAAGTTTGAAGACCCCTGCCCTAGAGGGATGTTTTTCGACCGTAAGCACACATTTTCCCATTTCTCCTCTTTCTGTCATAATTTTATAATAAACCCTCATTTCTTCTCCATTTTGTTACTCTAGTAATTATTCCTTTGGTATGTTTGGGAGAAGTGTTGGTTTGCATTGTTTTCTACAATTTGCCTTCAATAGGTCTGCTATGTGTTACATGCACTGACATGGCTGTATTGGCCGGGAAATTGGGGGAAACATGCTACAGCAAATATGGAGGCGTGTCCATCAGCACCACCTACTGTCATGAGATGGTGAGTAGGAGAGAGTGCCAGGCAATGAGATGCTTATATACCAGGGCCATATCAGCATTGGGGTTGCCCTCGGGGGGGGCGGGGTGTGTGTGGCCAGGGTGGGTGCAGCCTACTGGGTGGGCGTGGATGGAGTGGGTGTGGCCTACTGGGTGGGCATGGCCAGCTCTACATCGTTCGCGTCAATGGTGCCTGGGGGGGCCTGGGCAGGAGTGGGACAGATCTGAGGGTCTCTGACAGAAGGGGGTGGAACCAGGACCACTTCCAGGTGATAATGCATTTCTTCATTCCTCACAAATGATGACACCTCCCCAGCATGCACCCAGGGGGCGGGGCCAACACAGCAGGGGCTGGTTCCTCTCTGTTTCCAGATGGCCTTGTGGAGCTAAGACTGAATGCTACAAAACTGTACGTTGCTCCCTCCCGGCTGGCCAGGGCCAGGGCCAAGGCAGCGGGGGCCGTTCCCTCACTGTTTCCAGGATGGCTTCATGGGCCACATGAAACCACTCTGCGGGCCTCATCCAGCCCTCGGGCCTGGTGTTTGACATGTCTGCTTTAAAATATGGCACAGTAGTTACTTGTTTTCCAAATAGCTTCTCTTCATTTTCCAAATGAGTTACAGAAAGGATATTTCATATGCTATTTTGCTCAGTTATTTTTATATAATTTTATATGAAATAGCATCTTAATGTACCAGACAGGACAAACCATTATGCTTTTGCTTCTATATTAAAGCTGAACTAGCAGATCATACATTATAGTAAGCCTTTAAAATGGTTTTTTTTTTAGATATTTGTCTCTCCTTCTACAAATAAAAGTTATTAAAACTGACATGAGAGATATTTCTGTTCTGAGATTGAACAGGGTCAGTTTTAAGGTTTCTTTGATTTGGTTTGGTATTTGACCAAGTTGATTTTTCTCACAACCTCCAATTCCTAACTCAAGATTATGAAAATGTATAGAATTTGGAATGGGTGAGGAGAAGCTTGCTTCAGCTGAGAGCTGAAAAAGAAAAGAGAAAGAGAAATTTTCTTGTGACTCTCCATTCTGGTATAAATAAAGGGACATCCCAGAAGCATGAAGTCCCTTTCTCCGGGACACAAAAGCAGCACAGTGGCAGAAAGGATGGCTTCCAGATTGCATGCAGTCAGGCAGAAAAATGAGCTGCAGCTGGTGACACCAGTTTTTATCTCCTGTTTTGCCATTATGAACAGCTTGTGCTCCTCCAATTCCCACTCCAATTCCTTTCTCCTAATTCTTTCTCCTGCCTTCCCTCCTGCTGCGGCTTTCACCAATTTTCTTTCTTACTGAAAATGTCTCCTCTGACTTCCCTCCTCAAACCGATCTACCCTTTCATTACTCTTCCTCTGTCTGCTGCTGGCACTCCAACCTGATCTATCCTGGAAGGGATTTTACCATGTTTTACTCCTTGAGCTGCATTTTCCATTTTCTCCAGTCATTTTTTCATAATTCTCTGACATGCCTTTCTTTCTAATGTGCTTCCCCCCCCATTTTTGTCCTCTCCCTCTATCTCTTCCCAAGCCTTTTACATCAGCCTGCTATCTACACTGCTATCTACACTTTCTCCCCAATTCATCCTAATAGCTTTCTTCCTCCTTTTCTATTTAATTCTATTTTTTTCCCCATTTTAATTCCTAATCTTACTGCCAGTTCTAGTTTGTTGTGCTACCAACATGTTCTGTTTCAAAAAAAAAAAGAAAAACTGTTTTCTATCAGTACGGTAGATGGAACTTCCTTATGGCACTCAGTGTCACATCACCATCTACTGGTGAAAAATTCAAAATTTTTTGCAATTTTTAAATACTATTTCAAAAACTACTCAGTCAACCACCATGGTGTACTAATACTATTGTATATACAACAATGTGAAATCACAGCTGCCAATTCTCTAGCTGTTGTTGGCCTTCAGGTTCTTCACACAAAGAATTCTTTCCAACAACCTAGGATGTCATAATGTATCAACGTAGTACATTTATTTTTAAAACAAATGTATATGCTGCCCAATTCAGACTTACAACATTAAACATTCATGACAAAACCCCACGATGGGCATACAATACGGAGATGCAATTTAGGCTTGTGGGAACCACTGCACTTTGAACTTTCTGAAACTTGAATGTTCTGAAAATCTTATAATGTAGTTTTTATAATTTTAAAACTTTTAATTATAAATTACTCTGATTTTAATGTTTTATTTTATCGATGATATTGTACGCCACCCAGAGCCCTTCTCCAATGGAGATGGGCAGTTAAGAAATATGAAGAATAAATAAATGAATAAGTAAATAAATAAATAAATAAGGCCTGTGCAAACCACACTCCCTTCTAGTACTGATGATGTTATCTAGTTGGGTAATGAAATGTCTGCAGGAAAACAAGCAAGTTCAGAGCACCAAGGACCCCACAGTTCAACCCTGACCCTGAGCTCCAAATATTCTCTTCTATTGGAAGTCTCTGTGGGTGATATTACTGGCCTTCCTAACTAAAATTAAGATAAAGCTTATGACATATATAAGATCAGGATCTGAAAATAAGGTATGAGGGCCAGAGCAAAAAGGCAGATTTGCTACTAGAGTAACAAAATGGAGAAGAAATGAGGGTTTATTATAAAATTATGACAGAAAGAGGAGAAATGAAAAAATGTGTGCTTACGGTCGAAAAACATCCCTCTAGGGCAGGGGTCTTCAAACTTGGCCCTTTTATGACTTGTGGACTTCAACTCTCAGAATTCCTCAGCCAGGCACACTGGCTGAGGAATTCTGGGAGTTGAAGTCCACAAGTCATACAAGGGCCAAGTTTGAAGACCCCTGCTCTGGGGCCTGAATTTGGGCAGGAGCCAGCTCATGAGGAATTAAGAGTACTTGTATTCCCCAGAGATGAAGAACAGGACTATAGAATAAATTATGGAGTTCTTGGAAAGAAATAAATCAGTTTTCTCATTTTAATAGTCTGCATGGCATAATATCTCTCACTGTAGAAAAAGTAGTAAAGAAGCAACGGTACCTTTTCTGTGGAAATAATGCACAGCACAGAGGGGTTGCGAACACCAAACTGGAAAAGACAAAAGTTAATATTTTTTTATGTACTCAAAGTTTGGATAATTTTAATCAATTCTGGCTTCTTGGAATAACAGTATGCCACGTTAGCACCTGAATAGTAATTCAAATGTCATAAGAATTGGTTACGTAAGTGTAGCAGTTCATTTCCATCTCCGAATTCACACACATGGGTTATTTGCCTGTGCAATATCTGTACAGAATGATTTGTGGAAGGGGCCAAGTGCACTTCCTGGGGCTGCAGAATGATGGCACCAAGTGGGGTGGCAGGTCAGATTGTGTGAAATTCTTCATGTAATCCTTGTGATTCACACATGTGGGTTAATAGGTAACTTATTACCTGGAGGAAAGTCTGGTTTTATAAAGCGATTGAAGAAAAAAACTGTTTTTTCAAAGGTTGAATTCTTCTGCAGATGGAAGATCAATAATGTTGAAGAAAAGTGGAAGAAAAAAATGTAGCATAATTCTGGCTGGGGAAATTGAAATTATCTCTATATATCTCTAAGTTGTTAGCATTGAGGTAGATCTGAAGAGGGTACAGTTGATTAGCTGACTCAGAACAAAGTTTGATGATTGCTAAGAAGGATGGCGCAATGATAAACAGATGTGTAAAATTATCCATTATAAAATAGTGACAGGCAGCAATAGTACTACCAATCTATGAAAATAGGCATCTTGCCAGGCAATATAAGCAAACCACACTCCTCATTGTTGGAGGGCGAGGATGGTAATAATTGAAACCATCTGACATCCATGGTTCTATTGTGTAAAGCAAATGCTTTCTGCCCAGGAACCAGAGTTTATCTGAAAGGCTGATTGTCAAAGACTAGACATAAAAGGACCAGAGATGGGTATGAGAAGAGACTATATAGGGTGGATACGGACACTTCTTATGAACTGTAACAAACATGCTACACAATATCAATGACATAGACCGTTGTAGTACCAAATAAGCCATTCTTAATAAATCCTTGATTCTACCTTTGGCTTCCACTAATAAATCAATGAAACTTAGTCACGATTGGTGGTGAAGAATAAATTAGGTTAGTATAACTTTACTTATTAAATCAGATACAGGATTGTGTTTAGCTGTTGTTTAGCAAACCATGCTCCAAGTATATTTTGACGTATAAGATGACTCCTGACTTCGGCGCTGAGTCGCATGCCTAGAAAGTCATCTTATATGCCGGAAACTACTGTTATTTCCAGGGTATAAGACGACTCGGTGTATAAGACGATCCTGGACTTCGGTGCCGAGTCATATGCCTAGAAAATCATCTTATACATCAGAAACTACTGTTATTTCCGGCGTATAAGACAACTCAGCGTATAAGACGACCCCTGACTTCGGCGCCGATTTTAATGCTTGCGAAAGTCGTCTCATACACCGGAAAATATGGTATATGGCTGAGGCAGAGAATATTTATTTATTTGTATCTTGTGTTTATTATTTTTTCAACAAAAAAAACCCTTCAGAGTGACAAATATATTCAACACATCTTTCTCCTCCTATTTTTCCCCATAACAACAACCCTGAAGTGAGTTGGGCTGAGAGAGAATGGATCACTCAGCTGGCTTTCATGGCTAAAGTGGGACTAAAACTCAGTCTCCTACTTTCTAACCTGTGTCTTAATTACAAATGTTAAGTAATTGAATTAAAATAAAACAGAACAAGTGGATAAAAGAAATAATTCTATTAAATAAACTCTTAGAGCAGATGTGCTATCACTGTGGCATTTACAAACAAACCACAGAGATGATGATATAGTTGGGTAAAATATGAATCAAATATGTGAATAACTGGTTCTCTGTGTGGATGCAGCTTCCGGAAGTCCATTTGGGCCTGGGCAACAAAAATTAGCTACCGGTTCTGCTGAACTGGTGGGAACTGGCTGAATCCCACCACTGAAATATCTGCAAGCAAACAAGTGAACTCAGAGAGCATTGGGAAATCCACAAATTGCTGGGATTCCGTAGCAGTCAGATGCCGAAAGGATTCAGAAGGAGTCATATGCTGGGTGGGTGCTGTTTATATCCACCAAGATACTCTCTTAAGATTTATAAGATTTAGCTTATGAGTAAATTTTAGATTAGTATTGATAGTATAATAACTCATTTTAGATTTGGTATTACTATAGTTTAATTAATATTGACTTGTTTATATTATTCTTTTTGTTTTAATTTGCTTATATTTATCTTAAATGGGAGTTAAAGTATTTTATGGATTTGGTTACTTATATAGTTGGGTAATGTTAATTAGAATTTGATTATTAATTTGTAACCCTGTACTCAGCTCTGGGAAGTGGAGGGAGGGTTAGGGGTGGGTGGGTTTTGGGATATTGTATACTGTATAAAACTTTTCAATAAAAAAAAAAAGATTTATAAGATTCAAACAGACTGCAAAGATGTATTACCCATGTATGTGAAAAACAGAGACCACAGTAAAGAACCTTAAATTTGGAACTGGAAGGAAACTCAAAGGTCAACATATCAAAATCAAATACTCAAACAGATACTTATAAAACTCTACAGAATATAGAGAATCTCCATTTGCCAATATTAAGCAGTATTATTAATATTATCATTAAGCAATTTCTCACTTTTCACAAAATCTTTTGTTTCTGTACAGCAAGTTTGTGCTGAAGTAACATTGCTGTGTTTGATGGGGACAGGAGTCGACAGCTGCAGAATGATAATGCAGAGGGCTAACTAGGATTTAGGGGCGAAGTCTTTTCTGTTTTGGAAGGGAAGGGGTTGGAAATTTTTAGTTTTTAATCTTCTGCAAAAGCTCTTTAAGATTAAGACTTCCTGCCTCCACTATGCCATCATCTCTTCAGTCCCACAATCAAAATCTAGCATCCCAATCTGGGAGAAGCAAAGGATGATGGGAAGGAACTTTAAAGGACCCAAATTTGGATTCTTGAGATCATGGGGTTCTGGATGTGGTTGCTCCCACCTGCCCAGGGGTAATAATTACCCAGAAAAACGTTACTTTAGTCCAGTGTTTTCCAAACTTGACAATTTTAAGGCATGAGGACTTCAACTCCCAGAATTCCACAGCCAGCAACGCTGGCTGTGGAATTCTGGGAGTTGAAGTCCACATACCTTAAAATTGTCAAGTTTGGGAAACACTGCTTTAGTCTGATGTTTTTGTTGTGGCAAATGTATTTCTTGCACCAGATCTTGTTATTACCTAGAGTCCATTTATTATACTCTCAATCAGTGGTTCCCAACCTTTTTTTCCCTACAGGCCCCCTTTAAATATGTTTTGTGGGCATGGACCATGGCCATGGATTACCAAGACTTAACTCAAGATTTAAATCATAACATTTCTTCAAGCCTTTCTGGACCCCGTGATGACATTGCGGCCTCCCAGGGGTCAGTGGACGACATGTTGAGAACCACTGCTCTGAAACAGTTTTATTTCCTATGCTTCTTCAAGAAACAGCATGGCCTGAATTAACTCCTAAAATAAACTCCCCCCAATTTATATTTTCAATACTGTCTGACGCAGATTTAGGTAACACAGGATATAGGTGAAAGTCATTTCTTGTGGCCTCTAGGTTTCTGAGCATGGGTGAAGGGATGTCACATTCATGGCTGCTCCACCCCTTATTTTGCATGTGTGAAACATCAACACATGTGCAAAAGGGCAGGCCTTGGACTCTAGTCTTGCACTGGCTATCTTGCAGATTTTGACTCTTTGCTGTGGACACTGTGATGTGCTGTTTCCTCTGCTTTTCAAACATCTTCAGGCCAGATGAATTCAAACATACTTTTATGTTCCCTTCATGCTTTTGGTCTTGCTCTCAGTAGCTATTTTAGTAAATGCTCTTCATATTGTTTTCTTGATATGGTTTGCCTTAAAATCTTGAACTTCCTCAATTTATCAAAGTCAAAGATTAAACCAGACATCAACATGAGAAATACAAACTGAACTTTTTACTCACCAGAAACCCACTAGTCCTACTTGAATGGGGGCACTCATCCATGGGAACCTCTGTGTTAAAAAAAGAAACAAAATGATAAGTTTGCTCTGAATTTATGTACATAGTTATTGGATACAAAACTTTCAACGACTTGTAGATACAAAAATATAGGAAGAGTGAAGGCTTAACTGAGTATATTTTATTATGAATGAAGGCAAATATATTGTATCTTGCAGTATTTTATTATATTTGATACAACAAACATTGTGGATGTTGGCAACAATAGCCTCCTAGATGCTTCTGTAGTCTAGCTTGCAACATGCTGGGTGGAGCTGCTATGAAGTGTAGGTCAGTAATATTTGGAAGGCTATACATTCTCCCATCCAGGAAGCAGACTTGCAAAGCAATAAAAAAATCTTTTCAATGTTTTTATGTTTTAGAAATAGGTTGAATTTCTAATATCTAGGCTAAAGTTTCAGTATCAGATCAGCAACTTTCCACATTAGTATGAATATGTGGAAATCCTTTACTGCCAACAGCATTTATGTATTCAGTATAAAGCTGCCCATCTCATAGACGTGACTCTAGGCAGCTTACAATAAAATAAATAACATAAAAATAAAACATATAGCAACTGCTCCTCATCAAAGTTACCCACATAACCAGGCTGGCTCTATCATGGCTAGCACCATGGCTCAGGCACAAAAGTCCTTACAGGAGGCCAATTGTATTTTTATAAAATTTCAAGAAAAAAACCACCCCATTTATTTTTATAGATGTAAAAGTAAGGTAGTCCTCATTTAACAGCCACAACTGGACCAATAACTTTGTTGTGAATCAAAGCAGTCGCTAAATGAAAAAAAAAATCACGTGACCATACCTAATGCTTTCTTTTTCTCTGCTTTGCTGGAATGCTCATTTCATTGTTGGAAACCAATGTTTGTATTTATACTCATTGGAGTGGAAAGATTACAAGAGAATAAGCAAGCACACAATGAGGAACACAAATCAAAAGGAATGCACCCTAGCCAACTATGACCTCCATGTGATGGTGAGAGCTTTTTGGGATGGTCCACACCATCTAATGAATCCTGGAGGATGCTGAAAGGGAATTTCCCAGCCTTCTGTTGGGCAGCTCTGTTTGATGCCTGATGAGCAACTGGTTATTGGAGATGAATGAGGCTGTGGAGTTGTTTCTTGAGTTGTTTCTCTCTTGGGGCTAATCCCAGTGGGCACCTTGGCTCACTAAGGCTTTCTGAGACATGAATATCCAGAAAGTATTCCTGAAGCACTGGAGGAAAAACAAAATGTAAATAGGGACAAGCTTGGGTATGTGCCTCATTTTGTTGATAAGCAAGTTTATTTCCGCTCCTTTATGGCATCTATAGGGTGTTATTCCATGCTCTTTTTTAGAGTTACCAATTCCTTATTGAGGAAGGGACAGTCTCGAGATTCCTTCACCTGACCACTATAGCTCATCTGCACACCATTTTGCTGATGTTAGGGTAAGATATCATAAGTATATTGATAATGCCTAATGATATATTGCTACCCAGGCTGTAATGGCGATGTCATCCATGTAGTGATGCCTGATGCCTGGAGGCAGAGAATTATCTCAATTATTTCATATATTTGGCTCTGGTGTCCAACTTCTATAACTGTTTTTGCCAACATTTCAATAGAATCTGCTTCCTTGTAATTTAAATCCATTCTTCTGTGTTCTGCATTCTGGACTTTTTTATATTGTACATAGCATCCTTTGAAGACAGCTATAATATTCCCTCTCAATCAACTTTACTCAAGGTGTAACATACTCAATTACTTCATATTTCTTCAGAAGGCTTCCTTTCTAGTTCCATGATTATTCTTCTTGCCTTCCCAGAGCTTTCCTGTATTTGTCTAATATGCTTTGAAGCAGTTAAAAACTAACTTTGCATGAATAACATTTACATTTTTCAGATATTAAATGTGAAACATGTAGAAACTCCTATATTTTCTGAATAAGAATTCAAAGGAAAAAAAGTCAGCTTCATTTAAATTAAACAGTAATTCTTGCTATTGCTAAACAAGCAACAAGGAAAAAAAAAGTAGAATGGGTCTCAGCAGGGGAAAATGGATGTCAGAATTATACACTCAGATTTCACCATACAGATAAGTGCTCCTCAATGTTTTGGCTTAGAAGTATTTCAAAGAAAGCCCAAAGAATATAAATTACATTCAGATATATATTCATTTCTTATAGAGAATGCGGGGAACTCACTCCTCAAAGAAAGCTAATAATCGATAGATGTATTTTACTTCTAAGATTAAACTTACTTTTAATTAAACTATTCAGGCCACTTAAAAACAAATAGAGTTTCTAATCCAAATAACAACAATATGGTATTGTCTACTGCTTACATTAGGTGATCCATCTGTCATTTTGCTGAAATTTATATTTGGGAAGCTTTAGCAAATTTATACCCACTAAGGTTCACAATGATGAAATTAAGAATTCAGGTAAGAAGTACATGAAGAATTCCTGGACTTCCTTACAAGAGGAAAAATGTTATTTCTGTGATTGTGGTTCTAGAAATGCATTTTAATACTTAATCCTTGCCTTTTTTCAAAGATGAACTGTTCCAGTTTTTCACGGGTTAATAATTAGATAATGGAAACGTATTAAATGAAGACTGTAATGCTTTAATGAACTGGCTTGTTAACTGTAGACACAAGTAATGAGCTTGCATGAGTAGCTTGCTAAAAAAGAGCAGTCTGTTGCTCAATGGATTTAGAACTGATCAATATCAAGTTTTATAATTAACTAACTGAAGACTAATGATTCACCTGAACTTATAGTCAGTGAAGCAGAGAAGCAGACAAAGGAGGAGGACCAGAAAATCATAAAAGGAGTTAACAGTGTGTCAAAAGACATGGAACAGTCACTAATGGCTTGGTTCGGATGTAAAAGCTGCTAAATTAGAATGCCTAATTAAATTCCACAGCAAGCAATGAAGTCTTAGCTAGACGTGGCATTATCCTCTTTTTATTATTTCTTATAGCAAACATTTGTGTTATCTTTTAATAACTAGAAATGTAAAAATTATGGACATTGTGGACTTGGAAGCAAAAGGAAATGTTTGGCACCTCTTCTGAAGGTAGAAATACTTCAGGTATTTAGTATTAACACTGAAATGAATTACTGTATTCGTGTACTTATTGTCAGTAATTACTGACAATAATGATAAATTCATATTTTACAGCTGCTTATACATTTTTTTTTTTTTTTTTTTTTAATTGAAAATTTTTAACATTTTACAAAATAAATCCCCTCCCCAAGCCCACCCACCCACCCATACCCTCCCCCAACCCCAAACCTCCCTAACCCTCCCCTGAACCTCCCAGAGTTGATTACAGGCTTATCCAAAATATTTCAAAAGAAAAAAAAAAAGGAAAAGAAACTTAAGACACATATAAAACTTAAAACACCTATAAATCCTAAACAATCCTAAATACCTTAAATTAAATGAATTATTTCTAGAAAATAATAATAAACACATTATAATATACTCTAAAAATCTTCTAACCTTACTTATAATATTATCCATCCTTCTACATAAATTTCTTCCAAAACCAATTTTAAGCACTACTTTCTTTAAACATCTATAACTACAATATAAAGTCTAACATAAATCATAAGCAAATCTAAATACATTTAGTTAAACAAGTTATAGTCCCTCTAAAACACAAATTTAAACAATCAGAACTTGAAACATTTATAATCAATCAAAAACACAAATCTGAACATTACTTAAAACTTTAAACATTAAAACCCCACCCAAACACTAAAGACATTGTAATATACTCCAATCCTTCTAATATCATAAATATTATTATCATTTTCATAAACTCCCCCAAAACACAAATTTATACATTACTTAAAACTTAAAAAAGGAAAAAAAGAAACAAGACACCTTTATACTCATTTAGATCTTATCAGATTAAATTCCACCCACAAAAAAACACTATAACAAATTCCATCCACCATAAACACAATAGATATTCAAATCTTCATCAATGACAAGTTACAACCACAAAAAACCCAGTCCTTATCAGTCTCAATTATCCATTTTCATTCTCCAATCATTATCATACTGATATTATTATTGTCAGCCTCGATTGTCCATTTTCGTCATAAAGCTTAAAACAAATGCTTTAGGATCAGTCCTCAAAAGCTGCTCCAAATTTTCTGAGTCTCCCAACGACTCAGAAGCCAGTACATGTGGGGATTCCTTAAGCTCCTTATTCTGTTGGTCTTTTTCTTTACAATTATATGTTGCACAGATTTTCCTCTGCCCCTTCTTCTCAACTTGTTGACGCCCCTCAGGCTGAAGTTTCCCCTTTTTCATCTCAAATGACCCTTCCATCCTTGAAGATTGCTCCAAAGGATTTATGGGTCTTGCTTCTCCCACAGAATCAGCAATCACTAGGTGTGAAATTTCATTACTCTTCTTCAGTTGCTGCTTTTCTTTACAGTTTTGTACTACACAGGTTGTCTCCTGCTCCTCAATCTGAACATGTTGCAATCTCTTAAACAGGGGTTGCCCAATTTTAGAGTCTTCAAGCTGTAATTCTACATCCATTTCTTCCAAAGTCTTGAACTTAATAGATGAAGATGAACATAGCCCCAATACAGAAGTATAAAATTCTTTTGCTTGAAAAACAGTATTAAGTCTATAACATATTCCCAGGTAATTCACCACCATTCCAATCGGAACATCCCATCTAAACGAAATTCGTCTCATTTTAAGTTCATTTGCTAAAAAGGCAAACTCTTTTCTTCTTCTTAAAATTTTAGGTGGGATCTCCTTTAAAATTATAACATCTTGTGAAGCAATTTGAAATCTCTTCTTATAAAAAGCTTGTATGATTTCATTGCGTAAAGATTTCTTCCCAAAGTAAATTACCACATCTCTTGGCAAATTCTTTTGTACTGCCACCGCAGAATTAACTCTAAATAGTTTTTCAATTTCACTAAGTATTCCTTCTTTTTCTTTATTCAAAATTACGGCAAAGTCCTTTGCAACCATCT